CTCTGTCTCTAAAAAAAAAAAAAAAAAAAAGGAAATCTTTTCTGAGTAACTGAACAAAAAAAATGTGCCTTCAGGGCCTCTCCTACCCTCACCCTCCTTTGTACATCTGAGTGCCCTCCCTGGGACCTCACTGTGAGGAGTCACTGTCCAGCTGAAGCTTGCAGGTTCTGCTCTCTCCCCTGACACAGAAGGAACCAGATCAGGGAGCCTGGAGAGGGGAGGCCAGTGACAGGGTGGTGAGAGCCCAAACCTGCGAGGGGCCTGAAGGTGATGGGCAGGAGATGTTACTCAGAAGGAGGCCTAGAGCTCCTGTCACTGCTTGGGTGGTCCAACCACGGAACAGAGTCAGGGAAGATTCCAAGGGCTCAAGTCATCAAGGGTGGGCCCTGAGGGAAGGTTGAATCACTTGGGAGTGCCTGCGTTCAGATTCTCCTACACCTGAGACAAGGAATCAAGTGCAAGTGATTTATTTTGGAGATAATCCCAGGAATTGTCAGCAGAGTGGGGGAGGGACTCAGGGAAAGCAGAAAGTCAGTGACCACTGTGGAGAACCAGCACTTAATCCTCCCTCTGCAGAGAATGTAGAACAGGTGTGAAACAAGTGGCACCTGTGAACTGAGGGCGCTGAGTCTCTAAATGCCAACTCCTGCCAGACACTGCTGAGCTGAGTGCTGCTGCTGCTCAGGGTGGCTGTCAACTCCCCCGTACTTCCTGCCCCCAGGACCCCAGTGCCTCCAGCTGCCAGAGAAAGTCCTCAGGCAGAAAGTGTGATGCTACCAGTGGAAACAGGGTTGATGTGCCCTAAAGCAGCAAGGTCAGGGGCTGCAGGCCTTGGCGGAGCCAGAGACGGACTGTGTCTGAGGGCAGACAGGAGTTTGGTTGTAGAAAGGCTTTGGGACATTGGGCCGCACAAAAGGCTGGCTCCATACCTGGCAAGAGAAATGGGTCACTTAGTGGACTAAGATTGATTATTTAAGCGAAGGCAGTAACTGAAAATTTTTGGAGAGAATGGGATAGACGGCCCCATATACCGAGGATGGTCGGTTCAAACTCGGCCCTGGCCAAACTGCAACAAAAAAATAGGCATTGTGGCGGGCACCTGTAGTCCCAGCTACTCGGGAGGCTAAAGCAAGAAAATCACCTAAGCCCAAGAGCTGGAGGTTGCTGTGAGCTGTGACACTACGGCACTCTACAAAGAGTGACAAAGTGAGACTTTGTGTCTAAAAAAAAAAAGAAAGAAAAAAAGAAACATTCAGGCCCAGGGCTATCCTGACTTCTGGGATCTCAACACTCGAGACCTACCAAAGACAATCCTCCTTCTCCTGAAGTTCCTTCCAGCTCTGAAGCCTGGGACTCAGCCTCCTCTGCGTGTGTGCACCCACAAGCCTTTCTGGAAAGAATACAGTGACAAGGATCTATGCAGGTAGGTCACTTGGCAGCTTATTTGCAGGATGAGATTGATGATAGGGGAGTCAGGGGGACTCCCTGGGGAGAGGGTAAGAAAGGCTGGCTTTAAAGGACTGCCTCAGACAGTGCATGCACTGTCCGGGCCTGCAAACACCACACGTGGGGGTTCAGTGAGATGCCACCCACCACCCAGCCTCTGTCCATCACATTAGACTCCTTCCAGGGTCCTCTTTCCTGGACCTTTGCTTGGAGAATAAACCCAAGAAACAGGATGTTTCATGCATACAGGCTCCACCACCTGAGCCTTATTAAGGATGAGATTTACCCAGAAGAATTCTGAAGTGCCGAATGGCTCTGGGCAGTGGGTGTTCTGGGAGGGGTGTGTCCTCATCACCTGAGCAGGGGAGGAAAGCTGCCAGCAGGCAGTGGCCCCAAATGCTGACCGTTATGAGGGAGACCTTTCATCCCACCAGCAAGCTTGGAAAAACTTGTGCAGGACGGTGGTTGGGGCCTGGGCACTTGAGTCCTGGTCTGCCACTTGCTAACTGCAGGACCCTGAGCAAGTTAACATAAACTCTCTGTGTCTTTGTTTCCCCAGCTGTAAAATGAGGGATAGTGAGTTCCAACTTCTTAGGGTGGTTGTCAGGGCTGTAAGAGTTAATGGAACTGTGCCTGGGGCGTAAGTGGGGCCTTTATAAATGTTAACTATTTTAATAACCCTGCCCACCCTGGGTCAGAAACACGAGATGACTCACACTTGGTTGGAAAATAAGCTGCTCCTGGAACCTTGTTTTAAAACCATCTTAAACTGATCTCATCAGGTATCCTGTCTCTGACGCACGCTGGGTTAAAATGAGAAATAACACAAAAGCCCTCCCCTCGGGTCCCCTTTCACTGGAAGAAGCATCAGATGAGAAAATCAGGCCATGAGAATATAGTTTAAGGCCAGGAGTGTGGGTCTCCAGAGTCAAAGAGCCCAGCCTCGAGAGGCACTCCGACCTCTGCTCAAATCTAGCACCCAGCAGCCTCGTGCTCTCACATAGGATGCCTGGTTTCTCTGGGTCTCAGTTTTCTCATATGGGAAATGGGGATAACAATAGTTAACATGGTGATACATCCCCTCAACTGAGTTTGGGTCACAAATGGCATTTTAGGAAAGAGAATGGCATGAGGGCCTTCCTAGGAGTCTGGGAGGAGGGGAGGGCTCAGCAACATGGCCTTGGTGGCCTGGATAGTGGGATATGCGGAGGGACCCGTAGAAGGGAGGGCCTCAGGATTCTGAGAGCTGTCTCCTTTCTTTCTCTGGAGTGGGTAGGAAGTGATAATGCAGCCCCAGGGGCCACTTGTCAGCCCCTCTAGGGGGTGAGTGTTTGTTGACAGAGTCTCATTCTGTCACCCTGAGTAGAGTACTGCAGCGTCATAGCTCACAGCAACCTCCAACTTTTGGGCTTGAGCAATCCTCTTGCCTCAGCCTCCCAAGTAGCTGGGGCTACAGGCAGCCGCCACTATGACTGGCTAGCTTTTCTATTTCTGGTAGAGACAGGGGTCTCCCTCTTACTTAGGCTGATCTCAAACTCCTGAGTTCAAGCAATCCACATGCCTCAGCCTCCCAGCGTGCTAAGATTACAGGTGTGAGCCACCATGCCTGGCCTGGGTTGGGGTTCTGAAGGCTCCTTTCCAGGAGGACATCAGGAATTCAAGGGTCGAAGCTAAGATTTGGGGCAGGATGGAGGGTTCACCCCTATGCAGGAATGCAAATGAGTGCATATCAGTGTCACACACACACACACACACGTGCACATTAACTCCAACCTCTGACATTTTAGCTTAGACCTTCTAGGAACAACAGTCACCAGGGACAGTAATTTAATGGTAGAATTCCAGACAGAGGGAAGACTGGTAGGGCAAATGCCTGGACACAGGCCCTCAATTGCATAAATACATCAGGGCCCAGTCCACACGCAGGAAGAAACTCCCCTGCTTTGAAAAGCAGCTTCTGCAAAGTGTCTCTTTCAGAGCATTAAAAATCCTGAAAGAGGGCAGCACCTGTGGCTCAGTGGGTAGGGCGCTGGCCCCATATACCGAGGGTGGCGGGTTCAAACCCAGCCCTAGCCAAACTGCAACAAAAAAATAGCCGGGTGTTGTGGCGGGCGCCTACAGTCCCAGCTACTTGGGAGGCTGAGGCAAGGGAGTCGGCTAAGCCCACGAGCTGGAGGTTGCTGTGAGCTGTGAGGCTACAGCACTCTACAGAGGAAAGTGAGACTCTGTCTCTTAAAAGAAAAAAAACCCTGAAAGAAAAGAAAGCCAAGAGTGGGGGTTCTTGCTGCTACCTAAGCCACCCCACCAGCCAGCCCTTGATGCCGTATCCTTGCCCCACCATTAAGACACCACTGGGACCTTAAGAAAAGAGAATACTTTGTGTTTGGGGGTTTGGTGCTTTTTTTAACAATGAGGAATTATGTTTAGTGCACTGAAATAAATCAGATGCAAAAGAAAAAGCTTAAAATGTCGACTTTATTTCAACCATGGAAATTTTGTGGTCAGTCAAGAAACCATGGTATATAAAACAATCAAATAAATAAATAAATAAATAAATAAAAATAAATAGGAGCCTCTTCAGAGAGGGGTCACAGAGTTGCGGAAAGAGCCCCTTTCCGAACCAGAAGCAGGTGTCTGCGGCCAGGACTTCCTCTTCCCTCTTAATATCTCCTCAACACTGTGGGAAGAAAAGAGGGGGTGACAGTGGGCTTAGGGTGGGAGACTGAGGCAGGAGCGGACCTTCCCCACACTATACACCACCTGCCACCCTCTAGTCTTCAGCAATCTTGATGTTCGAGGCTTTGGAATAATCTCTCTCCCTGGGCCTCAGTTTCCTCATCTGTAAACTGGGGGTTACCATCACCCTCGTGACCTTGCTCTCTGCCTTGGAGAGACAGTTTAGGAGAAATTGGGAGGAAAAACTGTTTAAGACTCTTTTTCTCTAAGGCGGACTGCACCAGACAACGAACAGACTCCACCCTAAGGAGATTCTCTCCCATTGGCGAGAGAGGCAGCGTGTGGGCAGAAGGTGGGAAGGTGGGTGGGGACTTGTGGGCACGGCAATGAATAGATTTTCCCAAAGACACCCCTTGACTGAAGAGTGTCAAAAGGAATAGTGATTCTAGGCATCTTTTTCTCAAAGAGCATGGTCCCCAGAGACAACAACCCCCAAGTTGATGCTCATGGTGGCCCACAAGGGAAGGGGATCAGGAGAGCCAGGGTGGCAGGTAGGGGCTCACCATTGCAGCCCAGGCCACTGTGGGAGCCAATCCGGTCCAGCCTCCGTCCAAAGCAGCCTGAGTCACGCATCATCTTGGGTCTGCGCAGACCCTGCAGGGCCTGAAGGCGCTTTTCGTGGGTCCCAAGGACACCTGCTGGGGCTGCCTCCTGGGTCTCCCAGGCTTCTGTGGGGCCCTGCCTGGGCTGGAGGGGCTCCAGGGCCTTCCGCTCTGCCTGCAGCTCAGAGACTTTGTCCCGCAGATGATCCAGCAGCTCCTGTAATGGGTGGAGGAGCCCAGGTCTCAGGAACTGGAGCCTGGGCTGCCCAGTCCTTGCCGGCACCCACGTGAGCTGACCACCTGGGTATGGTGTCTTGGCACCGGATCTCGCCACTTTCTATTTCTCTTATCACTGATTCCCAAGGGAAGGTAGGGACCCCCTTGAGACAGTGGATGGAGACCCTTTAATTAATGCTACCTGAGCCCTTCTGGTGGCCACATCCACACAGTCCCTCTGCTCTCACCTGTATCCCAGGCACTTCCGAGGCTGGACTGGGGCGGCCCAGTGGGTGAGAATGACCTTCCAGCAGCAACAGGTGGAGAAGAAGGAGGAGCAGGAAAGCCCGGGACAGCGCCGTTGCTGTCGGAAGGTTCATGTCGCTGGAGATGGGGGTAGGCTGCTGCCGCTGCTGTGCTACCTTAGGGGGTTTTGTTCCACCTCCTGGGGGCAGGCAGGCGCTCTCCTGGCTCCCTGGGCACCCACCGCCTTTTATCCTGGAGCTGGATGTCCAGTCGCGGGTTATCTCTGATTTATCAGCCGCATTCCCGCCTGCTGAGCTCAGGCCCAGGGAATGCACCCCTCCGCGCCTGCGATGAGTACTCTCTGGAGGTGGAGACCTGGGGCAGCAGGCCTTGTATAGAAATGGGCTGGGCTGGGGGCGGGAGCGCGCGGGGTGTGGGGGACACTGACACGTCCCTGTCTCCCGCTTCCTCCCTTCCTGCGAAATTGGGAGGGGAGATGAGGGTGCTTAGCGTGGCTGAGCAGAGGTAGGGAGAAAGCAGCTCAGCATTCCGGGGCTCGACGCAAGTGCAGGGTGCATGGGGTGACTCATAGGAGAACAGCCCGAGCCAACAACCCCCAGCACCACCACCAGCTCACCTTCCCTCCCGGCGCGGGTTCCCTCGCCCACCCTTATAGTTCAACACCCTCTGGCTTCCTTGCACCCTGCCCAGGTCTCCTGGGCGCCCAGGGCGCTGTCCGTGGTGCTGACTGCCTCAAGTGACCTTGACTCAAACTCTCAGATCGGCTCCCTTCAACCTGATTTCCAGGCCAGAAAGGCCTGTGTGGGGCAGGGGCAAGAGACCGCTGATATACTCTCTCTAATTTATTGCAACCCCGCAAATCCATGAGCCTTATAGCATGCTGCAAGACTGATTCTCCAATATTAGCTTATTAAAAGCCTGGGCATGACAAGGAACCTCTGGAATGCTGACTCTTCTTCCATCCCTTAAAGGGAAGAGCAGATCTGGCTGGAATTTTGAGAGGCAAGTCCCAGAGATGAAGTAATCCAGGCATGCCGTCTATGGCATCGCCTCCCAGGTGTCAACACCTCCTCTCCCACACCAAGCCAACATACGGAGAAAGCAAAGATGACTGGAAAGATGGCTGTCTACTCAGTGAGAGATCTGGGGAGAGCCCCTCCCCTAACGCCACCTTCACGTCTGATCACCCATGAGCAGGTGGTTCAGACCTCCTGTCTGTGTTTAGAAATGAGAGTCTAGGCTCGGCACCTATAGCTCAACCGGCTAAGGCGCCAGCCACGTACACCTAAGGTGGCGGGTTCGAATCCCCAGCCCGGACCCGCCAAACAACAATGAC